TCCAGCTGGAAGCCCCCTCTAGCGCCTCTTGCAGTTTCCCCGGGGCAGCCTCACAACAAAGACTCCTTCGGGGAATAACCCCCTCCTCCTCCTCCTCTCCAGCCCTGCCGCAACCCCGCTCCAGGGGGCTTCCGAACCAGCCAGCCCGCCCCCTACCATCTCCAGGGCCCCCTAAATGTCCGTGCCTAGGGCGGGCAGGGGAAAGATCTGGGTACGTTTTCTAGCAAGCAGCCCCTAGCCCTTCCTGCACGCCTAACAAAGACTCCTTCGGGGAATAACCCCCTCCTCCTCCTCCTCTCCAGCCCTGCCGCAACCCCGCTCCAGGGGGCTTCCGAACCAGCCAGCCCGCCCCCTACCATCTCCAGGGCCCCCTAAATGTCCGTGCCTAGGGCGGGCAGGGGAAAGATCTGGGTACGTTTTCTAGCAAGCAGCCCCTAGCCCTTCCTGCACGCCTTACTGCAGCCTCCAGGCTCCCTTCCTTTGTTCCCGTTCCCTCACACCGCCCCCCTCCCCTTCCCTTCACAACCTTGACTGTGACTCCTGCCTGCACAGCCACTACGGGCACCCTACCCCCGCCCCGCTGCCAAAGCCACCCAGCTCCAGCCCCAGGCTCCCCGCGAGAGGCTACTCACCAGTGAATGGGGAAAAATACAGACATGAAGTCCTACCACAAAGGCTGACCCGAGCCCTTGGGACGCAAAGCCAGGGGGCGCGGAGCGAAAGGCACAGTGGCTTCCCTAAGAGCAGAGGGAAATAGCCCGGGGGGAGAGCAGCCTGGCGGGGATCTACGCGGTGCCCAGCTTTTAACCCACAGGGGAGGAAACACACCTTCCAGCTGCCACTACAGCCTTGAGCCGCGGCCGCCTGGGTAGGCGCTTATATAGGGGAAGGGGCGTGGCTTTGCCCCCAGCGCCCGCCCCCTCCTTTGGATGATGTCACCAAAATCATGAATGGTTTCGTGCCTGCAGCCCGCGGCGAGCTGGCGCGCTGGCAGCCGGGCTGGCGCGCGCCGATTGGACACAGCTGGGCTTCGCTTCCGTGGCATCATGTGGGCACGGCTGCTTACTGCTGCATGTTGTTACCCAGCCCCGCTCGGCCGGGACCCTCACTCCCCCGCGGGGCTGGCTGCCCCTCCAAGCGGGCGCTGGGGGTTGCAAGCGATGAAGGCTTTGCATGGGATAGTGGACTCAGATCCGGGCGGCTGTCAGCTCCCTAGGTCGCGTTTGCGGAGGGCTTTGGCAGGGAGGCTCCGTGAGCCATTTCCACGCTCACTCCCTTTTCAGAAACAAACCCGTTCACTTCCGCCGTGCCTGGGAGCCCACGAGATAATCCGGACCCGCAGCTCCATCATTTCTGTCACATCCACCCGCCTGCCTCGCCCGACTCCCCCTCCTTTCACATTTCTGCCTCTCTTTACCTTGCTGCCTCCAAGTGTACACTGAAGAGAAGAGAGCACTATTGGTTTCTATTTTGGGCCGCCTAATCTGGCTAGAAGCAAGGTTGAAAATAATCCACGGGAAGGTGGGAGGAGGAAGGGCTGTTTGAGCACAAGCTGCTGGGCTGAGTTTTGGGGTTGGGTTTTTCCCCCCTTGCAGCTCATGCTAGATTTTATTTTTAATGTGTTTTGCTTCTCTGTGGGAGGAAGGAATAGTTTCTGGTCCTGTTTTTATTTTTCCAGTAGACATCAAAGGTACTCCCTCACATGCACACCCAAACACAAAAATTGGGCCAGTCTCAGCTCTCAGTAACCTGGGTATAAACTCAGAGACCCTAATGGAGTTACTCTTCATTTACACCCGTGTGGTCTACTGGTTCCCAGTAGTAAAATGGCTGTTTTAAGGGAATAAACAAACATCTGAGCTAAGGCCTTACATGCATCATCTCACTTTCGGTCAGGGGTGGCCAGCCTAAATCTGAGAAGGAGCCAGAATTTATCAATGCATGTTGCCAAAGAACAACAGTTCTATGTCACCAGCCCTGATCATCTCCCCACCACCGCTCTCAGCATATCCTGCCCATTGGCAGCCCTACAGGTCAGTGCCCCCTTCTCCTTTTCCTCCTGTCCACTGGGATCAGCTCTTTCTCAGTGGGAGACACTGGAGGGGGGATTATGGGTGTGACAGGTGGGAAGTGGCAGGAGTGGAGGGGGACAGCGCCTAGGGCAGAGCTGGGGGTTGAACAGCGAGCATCCTCCAGCCCAGTGGAAAGTTGACACCTGTAGCTCCAGCCCTGGATTTGGTACCTATGCAAGGAGCCACATATTAACATCTGAAGAGCTGCATGTGGCTCTGGAGCCACAGGTTGGTCACATCTTCTTTAGGTGAAATTCACTCCTAAACAAGCCATCATATTCCCTACGCACTGCTTTAATCTCCTTTGAGCCATAATTGGAGAAATTAGATGGATTGAAGTGGCTCTGCACAGGGGTGAATTTTGCCCCAGGTGCCTAGACACTACCATTTACCTTCTGAAAAATTACACATTGCTGGAGACCTCAGGGAAGGCTTACAGAAAGGCTACATCTAGACTACATGCCTTTTACATGAGTGTCTAGACTACAATCAGTACTTTCGAAAAAGCAAGCCACTTTTTTGAAAGAGAGCACCCGGGCAGTCTGGATGCTCTCTTCTGAAAAAGCACAGTTTGCATTACATAGTGCCTTTTTTCAAAAGAGCACTTTCGAAAAGCATTCTTCCTCATAAAACGAGGTTTTCCACGGTTGACAAAACCGCTGCGTTCTTTCGATTTACTGTCGACAGAACGTAGCAACAGTCTAGACGCAGGTAAAGATTTTTCCAAAAAATGCCACTTTTTTAAAAAAATCCCTGTAGTCTAGAGACACCCAAAGTGAGATGAGAATAGAGTGTGAGCCTAGATTCTGAATTTCCTTGCTGCTTTCAGATTAAGTCAGAGAGAGACTGACACTGATCATGGCAATGAAGTATTCCTGGTGAAATAACATTGGGTTTCTCCCAGCCCCATTGATGCCTCCCTCCACCTCTCAGAAAAAAGAGAGAGAGAAAGATCTAACTGATCTCTCAAATCCTGTTAGGGAGGATTCTCTTGTTGGCAGATTGCCTACAAGATATTCAGGGTATGCATGAGCATCTGCTGCAGGCTCAGATTCATTTGTAAAAGTTTTAGCAGGCGGGAGTTGAACAGAAAGCCACATAATGGTCTCAAAACTCCAACATGAGGCAAATAAGGCGAACAATACAACCACACCACAATGTGAGGGAAGCGGGGAAAAGATAGTGCCTTCCTGGGGAAATTATAAAACCATTAGAACAAAGTAAAAAATAGTTTAGGAGAATAAGTACATTTTCCCAGTTTTCCTCCTAAAATGAAGTCACAGGGGATGACTGGGCAGAGGCACCTAAAAGGCTGATGCTCATTCAAATCTAGTGTAAACTCTGACTTTTGTGTGCATAAACCAATTCCATGCAGTAAAAATCCTTACGAAATACCTGAGCAAAAAGAAATCACAAGGAATACACAGTAGCTGCTACTGTGTGGGTCAAATTAACAGACATAACCCTGCAAAACACTACATCAGTCATTGGTCAGGCTGGGCCTGCTGAGACTGCTGACTTATTGCAACATATTTTTACTGTTCCCCTCCCTATCCATCTGCTTCAGACTCCTTTTATGTCTTGTAATCCTGGAGCTCACTGTCTCAGGAGAGACTGTATTTTACCTACTTGGACAACATGTAGTACTAGGCTCTGATCCTCAAGTTGGTGCGTTAGGTAAAGAAAGAAAGAAAGATTCTAAGCAGCACTCACAATTATCACCTATGGAGCTGTTCTGCCTGCAACAGGCACCAAGATATTGTGCTGACAGCTCAAGCATGGTATAAATCCTCAGACAGGCAGCCAGATTTGTACCAACAAAATGGGTAATTGTGCACATAAGTTTTATCAAGGGTGCTTGTAGCAGTTACCCATAGTGTTCCTTCAGATGCATTGGTATACAGGAAAACAGCTGCTCATACAAAAGTTGAAGTGGGTATGTGTTAAACACTAATCTCTGAAAGGTGGGTTTAAAAAACAAACTTTTCACCCATTCAGCCTAGGGTTGCCAACGGTGCCTGAAGCTATTCTGTGAGATTTTGTTTTCTCCAGTGTGCTATAATGTTATTTACTTGAAATATCCTATTAAAATCTCCAAGGTTGCTTTCAATAGACACTCCAGGCAATTGATGCCAATTTTGGGAGTCCACAGGCCAATCCTGGAGGGTTAACAAGGATAATTCAACCCTAAAACAATATGCGTGTGTGTTTTCCCTTGAATGAATAGCTGAATAACAAGGAACTGCTCAAACCACCCCAAACAGAGTTAAGTTTGTGGGGAAGGAGGGGAATCGCCCCTTTGTAAAAGGGTAGCACAAAGTTTAATTTGATTAAATAGGACTTAAGCAATGCATAAACCTCATACTTAGAGCCCTGCAAATCCAGAAATCTGCTATACACCCACAGATAACTGCGGATGTGGATACAGCTATCCGTGACACATTTTTGCGGATATGGATGCAGATAATACGGATGCAAATTTTGTATCCGTGCAGGGCTCTACTCTTATTGTCTGTTTCCACAGATGTGAATTTTACCCTGAAGTGAATATAATCAGTTTAAGTTTAACCTCTGTCACCACACCCAGAACATATGGACATCGGTGAAGGTTAGAGAAACAGGAATCCAACTCATTTCATGAACAATGAATAAGCCTTTGGGCCTTGTTTGTTTTCTGAATGCTGGAGCCAGTGAGTTGAGCAGATAAGTAAAAAGGCAGCCAGTTCTCTCCAGCAGATGTACAACAATCAAAAAAGGTCTGATTATACAATCAGTGCAGGGGAGCAATTCCCATTCAAAGCAATAGTGCTCAAGATCAGGGCCACGCTCCAATTGCTCCTAACCAAATAGTCCAAAAGACAGATGTAATTCTATAGTCATGGACTTTATTCACCCAGGATCCTGTGAAATGGGAAGGGCCAGATTTTGAAGGATATTAGGTACATAAAGGTTTAGGTAGATGGTTATGGGATTTTCAAAAGTAATGAGATGTGACTACAATAAGGGGTTAGGTATTGAGGTGCTATAGAAAATCCCATACCTGATTCTTTAGGCATCTAAATGTCTTTAAAATTTGGGTCTTAAATGCCCTCATTTCCCATTGCCTTCAACAGGAATTGCAGACTCTCTGTATAGCCAGATTGGCCTTTCTCTAATTGCCTCTAATGGATCATCAGAAATTTCTTCCTGACTCTCTCAGGCACATGTCGAGTCTGCTCTTGTCCATTTGTATGGAGTTGTCCATATATAACAAAAGAATAAAAGGGGGGACAGAGTCCCATTTAAACCAGACACACTGAGCTTTCTGTATAAAAAATGCTTCTTTAGTTAGTAGCACTTCAATTACATGGCTTCCCCCAATCCTTCTGGGCCTAGCTCCCAAGGAAGCATCTGATTGGGGCCCTTTATTCTTGATTTCTCAAGTACCAAGTTGACTGAGGGCTGTTTTGTGATTAATCTGACTGATTGACTCTAGACAGAGGACAAGGCTGGAACAAACAATTCAAACCAGCTCTGACTTTTTAGAAAGCAGTTTCTCTTCTCACTGGCTGGGGTTGGTTTTTATTTAAAAAGCAGAGCAGAGAGCCCTAGGACATAGCTCAGAATAGTCTGGGCCTATTTTCACCTCATAGCTACAGGGATTTTGAGAGAGAGAGAGAGAGAGAGAGAGAGAGAGAGAAAAGAGTCCTGTGGCACTTTGGAGATTGTTAGTCTGTATTTTTTTTTTAAACAAAAACGCTTAATGTGACTACCCCTCAGGGATTTGTAAATTGTAGTATTTGTTTC